CCCACCCCAGGCTCCCGGAGCGATGGGTTACAGGAGCTTTAGTTGCAGCGGTGCCCGTGGAGGGTGGAAGGAGCTCTTCCAGCCCTTGCCCTCCTCCAGCACCGTTTCCCTCCGCAGGCAAGTGGGACTTTGGCTGGGGCCCTGACGGCATCCGCTGGCGGGAGGTGAAGTCCCGTGTGTGACTTAGCAGGGTCTAGCTTGAGGGTTTAAGCCAGTTCACCTCCCCAGCGCGGGGACGACCTGGCTGCTGCTCCCAGCTTGCCCTGGCTTTGTTGCCCGCTTTGCTGCAGGTGGCTGGCGAGGGCCGTTTGCTGCCGCCCGGCTCTGACCGCATGACACGGGGCAGCACAGCTGGCGGCGAGGCCGGCCACACTCCGCACCGCTCCGTGCTGACAGCGCCCTCGTCCCACCCTCACGCCAGCCTGGAGCCGGGTGGTCCCCTCTCCCCTCACTGGTGGGAAGCAGAGGTCCCAACCCCACTCCTGCCACCCAAGCCAGGGGCGTGCGGCAGCCCGGGGCGCCGACACTTTGCAGACCCCACGACCCGGCACCCGCTGATGGGCAGGGATGGTGCTGGGAGAAGAGCCTGCACAGGATGGGGGAATCTCTCTGGGAGGGAAGGGCTTCCAGACTGGTGTCCTCATTGCCAGGGCAGCTCCCACAGCTTTCAGCCAGATGTGCTCGGCGCTTGCTGGGGCCGTGCGAAGGATGTTTCACCCACGAGGGCTTGTACACTGGGGACAGCAGCGCCTCGACAGGGCTGCCAGGGTGCCAGCAGCCCCAAGGTGCAGGTGGTGGCGGTGGGGACGGGCTGGCACCATCTGCTCACAGCTTAGCAAGCGGCCCCCTCAAGCCCCGCACACCCGGGGTGCTCAGGGTCAGCCCCTCAGGGTGCTCCAGCCCCTCAGGGTGCTCCAGCCCCGTGGCCCCGAGCCCCCGCTGCAGCCGTGCAGTGAGAAACTGCTGGCAGCACCAGGGCCGGGCGAGAGGACACTCGGGGCGCGGATTCCATCTGGGGCACGGATCCATCCCCACCCCAGGATCCCGGCTCCAGCCAACCCAGCTGAGCATCTCCCCACACTTGGCACCACGCGAACACGTTCTCTACCCGATAACGGTCTGACAAATTTGGGTACACAGATGCGTTTGTAAACCTTCCCGGGCCCCTGTGCCAGCTGCAAAGCACGTTCAGCTGAGCCAGGCAGTTTGCAAAACCCTTCCCCAAGGCACAGCCATGTTGCAAAACCACTGCCCTGGCACGAACACGGTTTCCAAAGCTGGGAATGCCCACCAGCAGCAGCGCCGGGTCAGGGCAGCCCTTTGGCAATGCTCCTTGGCACCCATCCTCCTGCAGCACCCCTTGCCAGCGCTGAGGAAGAGGAGGAGGAGGTGTCTGCAGCCTCCCCCTTGAGCTCTCCTCGGGCTGGGGGACACGAGAGCCGCCCCAGCACCACTGCTTGGAGCTCTGCCCCAGTTTGATGGTGTTTGGTATTTCGGGTGAGGGGAAGGAGGCTCCATTGTTCCTCTTTTATTGTTTTGTGTTTCCTAAGCGTGGGACAGGCACCCTCCTCCCACGCTCTGCCCGGCTGCGGAGCCGATCCAGCCCTTTGAAAGCCAACACTGTGGCGAAGGCGTCCGTTAAAGCGAACGGAAAACCAGTGAGGAACGTCCCCGCTCCCAGGCACAGACTGGCTCCGGCAGCACGTGCAGGGATGAGGGGTGTCTGGGGTAGGGACCCAATTTATCCCAGCGTCCCCCTCCCCCCAGTCCGGGTCCATGCTCCCCAGTCACCGCACGATGCGTTGTTTCCCTACGCAACCGTTTAGGCAATGGCAGCTTGTGCCGAGCTGCGATGGGAAGGGACAGCCCCGGGTGATGGCGCGACCGTCACAGGGAAACATATTGACATCAGCTGCGCCGCGCCGCCATTCCTTCGGTTTCTCATTCCGCTCCACACAACTAAACCCCAATAATTAAAACCACAGCCGCTATTGTCCTGCCAGCAGCAGCACCATTCCCCTCCACAAGCTGTCCTCCGCTGGCCGGCGGCGCAGGATGTGGCACGGCGCCCCGTGGGACCAGGCTCCATCCGAAAAAGGTGCTGGAGCGCCCACAAGATGGGATATGGCCCCGTGCAGCCTTGGTGCCATACACTGAAGCCACAAGCTCGCTGCCACCCCAGAAGCAAAGACCCTGGGGAGAGCAAGGGAGCACCAGTCCAACCTTTCTGACTTCCTGCAAAAGGTGCAAAATTCCCAAGGGCCAATTACCAAACGCAACCGAAACCCCGAGCGCCCAGCTGGGGCGGATCAGCCCGAAGGCAGCTCGGGAAGCTGCTGGTGTTGAGCAGCCTTGGCCCGCAACAAGACCTTGAGCTGCAGGCCAGGAAGAGACAGGCATTTTGATGAGAAATGCTTGTTTTCTTTTAAAATAGTTTTAATTACGGCTTCCAAAGAAGGGAGCTGCTGAAACGGTCCGTGTCTCCCCAAGGCGCAGCAAGCCGGGTTTTTGAAGGGCACCCAACCCACCCCCGGGCAGGAGCTGCTCCCAGCCCATCCCTGCTGTGCTAGGGCTGAGCCGGGCTTAAG